CTTTGTGCTATGCTCACAACACGCGGCTACCTGTGAAGACACCAAGCCACATGGGTTCAAACCCACTGCATAGAATCGACCTTGGCCACTTCAAACCTGAAGTGGGCTCTTGCAAAGTGATAGAAAATATAGGGTTAAACAAATAGAGATGTGTCGTAGGTGTAACTAAAGATTTCCGTGTGGGTTCCGGGGTCGCATTTTGTGGAAACAAGAATAGATCCAGTGCCCCATGACATGCATATCGTAGGTGGCTACCGATTAGGGTTGTTTGAAGTCGAAGTGCATCTGTCTCAAAGGCGAGGAACCAACACTCTGCGTACAAACTAGCTAGATCTGTGATACGTATGTGCCAGATTCGAGAGAAACCCAACGAGAAGCCGCCATGACAAACAACGAGCGATAGGAAACATCTTCTTCTTCTTCGCGTTCACCAGCTGTAAACTCTGGCGGAAAGTTTTGGTTGTTCGTCCACTTCTGAACTGCAGTCCTGCTCCAGAACTTGAGTGTTGCGTGTGCATCAGTTTTACAGATCTGATTCACTTGAATGCAGACTGTCGGTTCCTTGCCCTTCAGGCAGATGTACTCCGACTTCAAAGGAAGCTTCCCAATTAGTCAACTCTTACGACATGCTTTTGGGTAGGCACTGGGTCTATTCTTGTTTTTCCCACAATGGGACCCCGGAACCCACACGGGGACAAGAAATACAAAGGATAACCTGATTCGATGAAAGCCCGACCAGTAACCATAAATATAGCAGACAGTGAAGAGAGCAGCAATGTTTTCTGACCCTAGCTGAAAGTGGTCACGGCAGATATTTAATTGAATTAAATTGAATATGCATGTGCACGCAAAACTCAAATTCAGAATCATCACCGAAATCCGGAAGTGGACTAACAACTACAACTTTCGGCTTGAGTTTACAGCTGGCGAAATACAAGAAGAAGAAACAGAAATCAAAGTTAGGTAACTATACGGAAAATTAAGGGTTTCGGATAAACACGAGTGCAGTTATCTAATTCGTATTCACCAACAGGTTGGTTGATTGTCAATGTCTAGTTGTTGAAGAAAAGCAGTCACTCTTGTCATACCTAGACTGTAGTTTTTAAAGTGCTGATTAGACCCAATGAGGGCCAGGAAACGACTAATACAGGACTATCACAAGAGGCTCGACACCGATGAGATAAGCAGTTTGTATCTTCGTCTCGTTCAACTCGCCCTGTAGCTTTCTGATTTTGCTTCTCATAAGAGGTTCTTTCAGCAGAGATCTATCTAACTGAGAACAGACAACCGAGTAAGAAAATTATCTGTTCACTCAGACTTCAGTCAGCAACTAAATTCTTTCTAGCTAGTCTCCATAGCAAGGCGGTCAAACCGTTTGCATTCCACTTTGATGGTCGTGGGTGCGTTCACAGCCTCCTGTAGCCACATAGCCTCCTGTAGCCACATAGCCTCCTGTAGCCACACAGCCTCCTGTAGCCACACAGCCTCCTGTAGCCACACAGCCTCCTGTAGCCACACAGCCTCCTGTAGCCACACAGCCTCCTGTAGCCACACAGCCTCCTGTAGCCACACAGCCTCCTGTAACCACACATCCTCCTGTAGCCACAGAAGGCTTAAGTGCGTTTCAATGACGCATCGTTCTGTTCATGAGTGCAGTTTGTTTTCGAAGATTCCCGGAGCTCGTAGCATAAACTAGGAAGTTCGTGTTTTGTACGAGACTCTTGGCAGGCGGCTAGCCATTCCGAGGAGAGAGACCGAGCTATTTTGGATAAAACCAGATATTTCAAGACAACTGTAACCAAATTCTTCCATGTAACTTCCAATGTACTTATTGAGGCTTAGTGAAGCGCTGTGGCTGGCAAGCTTGGCCTTTGTTTGTCACGTGTTTAACTTGCCTTCATGAAAAACATCGAAGAAACTGGCACACGACATTGCAGCTAGGTTGTTACAACAAGGCTAAAACAATAAAAAAAAAAAAGAATAATAATAATAATAATAAAAAAAAAAAAAAAAAAAAAAATTATAATCACACGTAATATGAGGAGGGTAAATAGTACAAGAAGGATGAGAATAGGAAAAGAAAACGAAGGAGGAGGAGAAGATGAGAACTAAGAAGAAGAAAAGAGGCGGAGAAAAAGAAGGGCAACGGTTTACAAGGAGGAGGAGACGACAAAGACAGAATAAGGAATGATGAGGAATAAAAAGAAAATAATAATAATCATAAGAAGAAGAAGGAAAGTAAAAAAAAAAAACGGAGGGGGAGAAAATGAAGAGGTTGAAGAGAAAAAGAAGGAGGAAAGAGAAGACAAACAAAACGAGGAGAAGGATGGGCAGAAGGAGAAGCAAAAGGAGACGAAAAAGAACGAGGAGGAAGAGAAGAAGAGCGGTTTTATATAAATTATCCTATATAACAAAAAAAAAAAAAGATTTCCCAACAGCGACCAGCCAAGATAATTTATCTTGATTACCAACACATGTGTTTTTAGAACTCACTCCTGACCTAACTCTTAAAATTATGGCTCCGAGTTGCAAGTGACGTTGAACGTCATTATCTCATAACCCGAATATAGGACAGGTTGTTAGCACCTGCCTCGGGCAGCGGTAGAGATAAGGCACGGGTCCTATAATACCACTATATTCTCCAGACCGGATTTTTGGGCCTTATGTGGAGTAAGGAGTGGGGATAATTGGGGAAAAAGGGGGGGGGGGAGGGCGTTAATTCACTGCTTTCCCAACAAGTATATCTTAAAAGCGACTAGAGTTTCTCGGTAATCAGATGTTTTTGGCCGAAAGGTGCAGATATCGCAGCCTGGCTGTAACGACAATGCTGCATGTTAACCGCTCATTTAAGAGCCAACGCAGGAAAAGAATAAGCATCTCAACACGCGAGGCGTGCATAGCAGGGGTACAGTTAGTTGTTTTAGTACCCAGAAGCCATGAGTTGTTAACCCTTAGGCTCGGTATTATGGATATCGCAACCTTTCGGCCTTGATTCCATTGTAAATACCGTAAATCTGGGAGAAATGTGGCTTTTCTGCCTACCCCCTGGAGTGAATCCGGACCACAAGGAGTTCGTCAACCAGTCACCTCGTAATCCGGTTTAGCCAACTACGCTAGAGAGCCGGGCAATACAGTTAGTTAACGGACACCATGTGGTCTCTAACGGTTACCCAGCAAAGTACTAACTACGTCAGATGCAAATCAATGCAACACATTCTTCACTACTGGTAAATGAACAACACACAAAAAATACATGCTCATTAACAAAGAGCAGCTAATCCTTAAGATGTACACGTTAGCAGTGATAATGTCTATCTTCTTCTTTAAAAAGGTTGGGGAACTGATCCCACACCCAGTAATACTCCTTTCTCATAGGATTATCAATCGCGGGACAGTGATGTTTATGTTGACGGGGGAATCTTAGCAACTATGGAAGTGTCCGGAGTACCGTGAAGAAAACCCATATCAGAATTCATAATTCTTTTCTCATCTAGTCTTATGACTGGCAAGGTAGATAACCTTTTAAAACAGCTAAAGAACTCTTTCATCGCGGTTAGTGTTCTTGTTGTGAGCTTGCGTCGTATGTGTGAGTGTGCTGGAATTTCTGGTTGTAACAATTATTCAGGCCCTAATTATAACTTCTCTCGAGATCATATGGATTATATCAGACCTGCCCTTTTGGTTTGCTATCCCCACTGAGATCTTTTGTGTCAAGATGGTAAACCTTTAAACAGCGGCTCAGAGGGGACAAACCGGTCGATCTTTCGGTAGTTCTGGAACAGCGGTTACCGTAGGTTTCTTGCTATCTCTGTGGTTATGGATTCCCATGTCCATCGATTAATCAATCAAGCCTCATCGCGACCGGAGGCCCATAAGGCAGAAAGAAAATATCCCTACCCAGTTCGATCCTGAGCCATCCTCTCTATTTCCATTTTTTATCCTTCGTCTAGCCTTGAGTTCAGCCACAAAGGTTCGCCTCCAAGTGCCTCTGGGCCTGCCTTTTCCTCGCTGTTCATTGCATTGTCTGTCTCTGCCGTCTTTCTTTTTTCATTCTGAGACGTGTCAAATCCATCTCCGCCTTCGTTTTTTTTAAATTTCTAAATTTACATCATCTAAGTCTGTCATTTGTTGTAATCTAGAATTGCTGATTTTATCTTCCCATGTGATCCCCAACAATCTTCTGAGAAGTCTTCAATAAAAACCTTTGAGCGTGCTCTCTATCTTTCAGTCTGTTTTTCAAGTTTCTGAGCCATAGAGGACAAATTGTCCTAACGGATATTGTTTTTTATATCCTGAGATAAGTTTAAGTGCTGTAGATGTTTGATCTCCATACACTCTGAAGTCTGTTGTAAGCAGCATTTGCCTTATGTAATTCCCTGCTTGATTTCAACCACTACATTTCCATCCCAAAAGATATTGCTTCCCAGGTAAGTGAAGCATGTCAATCGATGCTAGATGTATAAGCACAAATGGTTCAGTAGCTCGCTCCCCCTCCCCCTCCAAGGCGGAGAAGACTTGGCCAACATGAACAGAGAAGAACTACAAGTACCAAAAGTATCAGCCAATGAAAGGACAGCAAGATATAGTGCCACAGTTGTGACCAAAGCTTTATAGGAAACGATTGAAAGTGGTTAGTTAAATAAACGAAGAAACGAACCAATAGGTGGACCGGACTAATATGGGTACAAGAAAAGGTTGTGGACGTCAAGGCTACCTAAATAATACTGACATTATCTATCGAGTACTAGCTCTTATATAACGTGTAGAACAATTATCCCGACGTGATTCAGCAAGATCACATTGGTCTTTGAAAAAAAAAAAAACTAGATTGCTTTTTTCCTAAAAAGTTCTTGATATCAAAGAAAGACAAAGAAAACAAGAATGCGAGCAAGAGGATTGTAAACTTAAACACTTAAACACACGCGCACGCGCATGCACACACAGACACACAAAGATGTATATACAGTTTAGTTTAATTGCTATCTACATAGGTCAAACTATCAAACTAAGGATTTAGTGACTGCTTTAACGTTAATCTTCTTGGCTTCTCTGGCATCCACATATTGTTTAGCGCATGGTTCAAACAGAGGCGGAATGGATCCGATCAGAGCCAGCACACCACACAGAACAAAGGAGTAGTTCCAGTGCCAGTAATATCTCGCAGTCCGCCTGCAATAGATAACATGCTCATTCAACAGTTGTGAATGTAGTAAATTAATGAATGAATGTTTGATTAAAAGAATGAAGGAAATATTGCATGAATGGATGGATGAATGAATTAGTGAGCCAGGAGTGAGTAAATGAGTGAAATGATTGATGAAAAAATGGACAGAAAAAAAAAAAAATAGCTTCTATTGTTGCTCATGTCCGCATAAATATAGTATCCATCTCCCTGCGTAATCTCAGATGCGGGTCCAAAGATGTCATGATGGAGGCATCAGTAACCATAGGAGATAATATAAACATCAATAACCACAGAAAATGATGAAAACATTAGTGCCCATAGGGAAAGATGGAAACATCAGAAAAAACCAAGCAATGATAGAAGATAATGGAAACATTAATGACCATAGGAGAGGATGGAAACAGCAGTGCCCATAGGAGATGATTGAAATATTAGTGACTATAAGAGATGGTAAACAAGCCAGTAACCGTAGGAGATGATGAACATATCAGTAATGATAGGAGATGGTATAAACATCAATGACAATAGGAGATAAAGGAAACATTAGTGACCATAGGAGATGATATAATAATTAGTGACCATAGGAGATGATATAAACATGAGTAACTACAGGAGATGATTTAAACATTAGTGACCACAAGGGATGATATAATAATTAGTGATCATAGGAGATGATATAAACATTAGTGACCTCAAGGGATGATATAATAATTAGTGATCATAGGAGATGATATAAACATTAGTGACCATAGGAGATGATCTAAACATTAGTGATCATAGGAGATGATCTAAACATTAGTGATCATAGGAGATGATCTAAACATTAGTGATCATAGGAGTTGATCTAAACATTAGTGATCATAGGAGATGATCTAAACATTAGTGATCATAGGAGATGATCTAAACATTAGTGATCATAGGAGATGATCTAAACATTAGTGACCATAGGAGAATAAATAAACATTAGTGACCATAGAAGAATAAATAAACATTAGTAACTATAGGAGATGATATAAACATTAGTGACCATAGGAGATGATATAAACAGAAAGAAACTAAAATAGATTATGGAACATCTGTAACCATATGAGATGATGAAAACATTATTAATCGTAACAGATAATATAAACATCTATAACCATAGGATATGATGGAAATATCATTAAACATAGGGGATGGTGGATACATAAGTAACCATATGAGATGATAAAAACGCCTGTAACCAGAGGAGATGATGAAAATATCAGTTATGAAAGGAGATGATATAAACACCAGTAAAAATAGGAAATCGTGGAAACACCAGTAACCTAGGAGAAAACGGAAACGCAAGTTACAATAAGAGTTGACATAAACATCAGTAACCACAGGAGATGACAAAAACATCAATAACCATATGAAATAATGGAAACATTAGTAACTATAGAGATGATAAAAACATCAGTAACCATCGGAGATAATAATCAACAGTAAACACAGGAGATGACCAAAACATCAGTAACCATAGAAGATAATGGAAACATCAGTAACTATAGAGAGGATGAAAACATCAGTAACCATAGGAGATGATGGAAACAACAGTGATCATAGGAGATGACGGCGATATCAGTGACTATAGAGGATAATAGAATCATCAGTAACTATAGGGGATGATTAAAACTTTAGTGACCATAGGAGACAATGGACACGTCACACATCAGTAGCGATAGGATATGATATAAACATCAGGAACCATAGGAGATGATGGAAACAACAGTGATCATAGGAGATGGCGGAGATATCTGTGACTATAGAGGATAAAAGAAACATCAGTAACTATAGGGGATGACTGAAACCTTAGTGACCATAGGAGACGATGGACACATCAGTAGTGATAGGATATGATATAAACATCAGGAACCATAGGAGATGAAGAAAACATAAGTGACTATAGAAGATGATGGAAACATTACCATAGGAGATGAAGAAAACATAAGTGACTATAGAAGATGATGGAAACATTACCAAAGGAGGTGATGAAAACATAAGTGACTATAGAAGATGATGGAAACATTACCATAGGAGATGAAGAAAACATAAGTGACTATAGAAGATGATGGAAACATTACCATAGGAGATGAAGAAAACATAAGTGACTATAGAAGATGATGGAAACATTACCATAGGAGATGAAGAAAACATAAGTGACTATAGAAGATGATGGAAACATTACCAAAGGAGGTGATGAAAACATTAGGAATCGTAAGTGATGCTATAAACATCAGTGCCCATAGAAGATGATGAAAACATCAGTGACCAATGGAGATGATAAAAACGTCAGTAATGATATGAGATGATGGAAACATCAGTAACCACAGGAGACAATAGAAAAAACTGTAACCATAGAAGATGGTCATAGAAGATGATGAAAACCATTTGAGATGATCAAAACATCCGAAATGATAGGAGATGATATAAACATCAGTGACTATAGGAGACAATAGAAGTTTTGTTATTAGAACTCTCTCATTGCATTATGTTGTATCGTCAAGCGTGCGGCCCGCGTAAAGGCCCGCACCCTCTCTCTTCCCAGGGTCTCTGACACTTCAATGTTTTATTTATATAGTTTCCATGGAATATCATTTACGTCTATATCTCTTTGTTGTCCAAAACATCTATCACATTTCCTGACTGCTTGTTTCTTGTTCCTGTTTCTTCACAACAAAAGAAGTGGCAACGATTACAACGGGAGAAAGCTTCAAATAACAATAAACAACACATAAGATTATTTCAGATTTGATGTATCATTATTATACAGTAATTTCATAGCCAGTTTGTCTAGACAAACTTACAGTAATTGCTCAACGTTCAATATTTGAAATATACTGACCACATATTAAAGGTCCAGGCAACAGTCCGACTGACATGACCAACATAACGAGCCCATAGGCGCTGCTCAGTTTCTCAACTCCTGTCAAGGAAAAAAGGGGAGCTTTATCTCAGGACAGTTGCTGTTATTGTTTTTGTTATCATCATAATCGACGTGTAGAACACTGGACCCCTTCCATGCTGGCTGACTATTGTTGGACACCCGTTAGAGATTAAACCAAGCGACTACACATATGTGAGGAAAAGTGACGCAGGAAGTAGAAGCGGTCTTGTACCGGCACGTATCATGTGTTCCCCATAGTGTTCAATACTTCTTATTCGTTTTATTTTTTGCTCTGTCACCACCAAAGCAGTTAGTAATGAACACATATGTCGCACTTGCTTTAGAATCTAAAAACACCTTTCTTGCTGTTTTATTAAGGTTTTATTATTTTTTTTAAAAAAGGGCAAGAAAAAAAAAGCGCGGGGGGGGGGGGGGGGGGGGGGGGTTTACAATAGATAGATTTTGTATACAATAAAACAGATTATTCTATTATGTATACATTTTATGTTCTTCATGTTTCTCAGAAACTGGCCAGTTTCACCTTGTCACTGTCATACTGGTGCTAAGCACCTTGAAATCTGTCAGAAATAGTTATCTTCATCTCGGCACTATGATTTTTCAATCAGTTTTGTGGTCCAATTTAATTGTTAAAATCAAAATACATAATGACATTGTGTGGTATACAGGAACAATAGAAGATGACCTTTGGTTCGTGCTTGGGGAGAGACAGAGGTGAGTTCTGTGACAGACTACTGTTCATGAGTGGTGCAGGTCAAAGGTGCTGCAGTCATTTGTCATTATGACGTCACCGTGGTCGACTGTGCCGGATATCACGTGTTTAACACTCCTGACATCGTTACTACAATACTGACATATTATAAGATAGTGACATAATTATTGGGTGCTATATTAATATCCTACCAAAAACAGGGGAAATCCACAGGTCATGGGACAGTCTAAATTTCAGGCGGTGGTAGATTGTGTGCATGCAGTCTTGGGACCTAGGCTGCACTCTCTTGTGGGACGTAGGTGGGTTAGGGTTAGGGTTGGTTTAGGGCCAGTTCTAGATATTTTGGGGTCGTTAAAACCATCAGAAAGCAGGGAAACCCAGTCTTACCAGCCTCTAAAATGTTGGACTGTCCTGTGACGTCTTCCGGGGGGTAGGATATTAAAAAGCACCCATTATTGTAATGTTTACCACACTGTTAATATTTTCATTTGAAGCCCGCTCTTGTGTGTTTGTGTTTGTATGCGTGTGTATGCGTGTGTATGCGTGTGTATGTTTGTGTTCATAGAAAGAGACAGGGGAGAAAGAGTGTGAAAAGTAGAGATAAAGAGAGTGTGAACAAGAGAGTTATTTATAGTTTGATAAGAGAATATTCGAAGCAAAGGTGATGTCTGATTACAGGGCACATCTTTAGCTTGCGAGAGCAAGATTCTACAAAGGCTGGTGACCTAAAGATGACCTACCTAAAACATCAGCTAACATCACTGAAATCAGCGCCATGTAGGATCCAGCAAAGAGCCCATACAAGGCTGCATACGTGACCAGAGCCGGGAACGTGGCCATGACGGAGCAACGATTCAGGACTCATGGCCATAACACCCGCGGGATCAGAAACCAGATGATGTGCCATAGGACAGCGCTCAGAAATATAGCCATACACCCGACAAACCTGCAGATAAGAATCAGAAATAAGGCTACCACTGCTGGCCATGCACCCGACAAACCTGCAGGTGAGAATCAGACATAAGGCTACCACTGCTGGCCATGCACCCGACAAACCTGCAGGTGAGAATCAGACATAAGGCTACCACTACTGGCCATGCACCCGGCAAATCTGCAGGTGAGAATTAGACATAAGGCTATTACTACTGGCCATGCACCCGACAAACCTGCAGGTGAGAATCAGACATAAGGCTACCACTACTGGCCATGCACCCGGCAAATCTGCAGGTGAGAATTAGACATAAGGCTATTACTACTGGCCATGCACCCGACAAACCTGCAGGTGAGAATCAGACATAAGGCTACCACTACTGGTCATGCACCCGACAAACCTGCAGGTGAGAATCAGACATAAAACTATTACTACTGGCCATGCACCCGACAAACCTGCAGGTGAGAATCAGACATAAGGCTATTACTACTGGCCATGCACCCGACAAATCTGCAGGTGAGAATCAGACATAAGGCTATTACTACTGGCCATGCACCCGACAAATCTGCAGGTGATAATAAGACATAAGGCTATCACTACTGGCCATGCACCCGACAAACCTGCAGGTGAGAATCAGACATAAGGGTGATCCTTATCCGCATGGTGACACTTTGTGTCATCGGGTGTTTAATCGCTTGTGTGATATCCTGGTGTGGTACAACAAGAGAGAGAGAGAGAGAGAGAGAGAGAGAGAGAGAGAGAGAGAGAGAGAGAGAGAGAGAAACAAACAGACAAAACATATAGATAGATAGATAGATAGATAGATAGATAGATAGATAGATAGATAGATAGATAGATAGATAGATAGATAGATAGATAGATAGATAGATAGATAGATAGATAGATAGATAGATAGATAGATTAGATAGATAGATAGATAGATAGATAGATAGATAGATAGATAGATAGATAGATAGATAGATAGATAGATAGATAGATAGATAGATAGATAGATAGATAGATAGATAGATAGATAGATAGATAGATAGATAGATAGATAGATAGATAGATAGATAGATAGATAGATAGATAGATAGATAGATAGATAGATAGATAGATAGATAGATAGATAGATAGATAGATAGATAGATAGATAGATAGATAGACAGATAGACAGACAGACAGATAGACAGACAGATAGATAGACAGACAGACAGATAGACAGACAGACAGATAGATAGATAGATAGATAGATAGATAGATAGATAGATAGATAGATAGATAGATAGATAGATAGATAGATAGATAGATAGATAGATAGATAGATAGATAGATAGATAGATAGATAGATAGATAGATAGATAGATAGATAGATAGATAGAGAGAGAGAGAGAGAGAGAGAGAGAGAGAGAGAGAGAGAGAGAGAGAGAGAGAGAGAGAGAGAGAGAGAGAGATCTTTTGGCAGAAGTGACGTGCCAGCATGGTCTTGCACACCTGGAAGTTTCAAATCACCCAGCTTGCATGGAAGCCAGCCATGCAACCAACATCTCAGCCAGCCAGCTAACCAAGTAACCACCCAGCCGCCACCCACCCCCTCCCACCACCCACAGCCAACTAGCCTAGACACCTACCACCATCCCAGCCAGTCAGTTAGACATCTAACCAACCACCATCCCAGCCAGTCAGCCACATTATGTAAGAAAGACACAGGTATCAAAGAAGGCCTGACATCCACTTACCCATAACGTCTTGGCATGAGCTTCAGATCCGAGAACCAGCCAAAGAACAGCCTGCCTATGAGATCTGTGATTCCGATGATGGAAACTAGCAGGGCAGCAGTGTTCCTGTCTTGGCCGTTCTGTGACAACACATTGAAACACGTCAATATTGCTAATGGTGTTAGAAAATGTACAGATGCAGTCCAAAGCATCGAATTCATTGCACCGATTTGTCCAGTACGACCCAGCCTCTCTGCGCACAACTGTAAGACACCTGCCGGCAGCGTCGAACAAAACGAGTGTTCTGTATTGTTGTACCGCCAAACATCCCTCCAATAAATGCTGATAACTATTTAATTAACAGGGTAGCTGACAATTTTAATGCTTTCTGTCGCACCAGCCATAATGTTGAATGTTGAATTAAGAATCGACATCACTCGGGACATCCCAATAAGCGCTCCGTCCTCATCTTCATCAGCAAACAAAGAGCTTCAACTCTGATGGCACAAGTAACTGGCTGAGTGTATATCCGTCTCGCCTTTCCCTTGAGCGTTTAGCATAAGGTAATTCCCCTGGCAAATCCTAGCAGCGCCATTTTCCTCAGACCGTAATGATCTATTTGCGCTTCCGCACTGTTCACTCGTTCCCAGAGGGCCCTCACAAAATCCAGCTTGTCATACATCAGTTCACCATCAAGTGGTGCAAAACCAGCCAGTCTATCCGTCTGCTCATTTCCCAACACACCGGCATGACCTGAAGAAAATATCCAAAGAATGCTGCCTACCCGGGACCTCTGAAGTGATGCTTGCCACTCTGCACGGAGCATAACTGTCTCCATCTTTCTCAACATGCCCTGTGAGTCAGTAACAATAACAGCATGTGTGTACAGCTGGTTCTCAAGCCAACAGAAGGCAGCAGCGACTTCATCCACCTTCATTCTCAAATTTGACGTTGTGATATCATTTGCAAGGCTTTATTGCACTAAGCGACGTCCATTCTAGCAACCCTCATGCACTTTGTCTGCCCCTCAACACAGAGCCATCTGTATAGATAATCACATCACTTAAGCGGGAATTGTCATGAATCATGTGATGAACTTCTGATTCTGCAGCGCCAGTTGGCCAATCCCTGCACTCAGGACTCAAAGTGATAAGAACTCTTCACATGTCTGAAACTTGCTCGGACACTTTGACACATTCCTCACCTTCTAAAAATTTATCAAGTCTGCCCACAAGCCTGATTGTGTCTTCAGCTTGCACCATCCAATACCTTCCTCTTGTCAATCTGTGACTCTTAGCTCTACCCAGGGCTTCATGCAGGAGGTGATTCTTGTCTGCAGCTACTCTGAGATATGACTCGTCTTGCTGAACATTGAGCCTATCTGCAATAGTAGGCAGTGCAAGTATATATCGCATGCATACTACAGGGGTATCTCTTGTACATCCCAGAATTACCCGCATGGCTTTATTTTGTATGCCTTCAAGTTTTATCTGTTGACTCTTTGATATGGTAAGCATTCCAAGTCCATAATCTATCACTGACAGGATCACATGCTGGAACATTGTGAACAGCATTCTTTGTTCCATGCCCATTGCTGCAAAAGTCTTAAGAGCATTGAGTCCTTTTTGGCATTTCACCGCGACTGCCTCCACATCATCTCTGAAGGATAGGCTTCCATCGAAAATGATACAAAGGTACCTCAGTTTTCTTTCTCGTTTGATGTTACTGTTATTAAATGTTGATGTCAGCAACCATTTCTGCACACCAACTGTCTACAGTTGTCTGTAGCTCTTGGGCTATCCGTTGCCTATTACTCCCCTGTTATATGCAAGAACATCATCAGTAAATGGTAATATCCGTCATACACCTAGTGTTCTGCAGTCTTAGTTGCATACATATTGAAGAGCAGTGGTGACATTGCAAAACCCTGCGGCAGTCCCCGGTCTATATTACATGGTTCTGAGGTCCATGTACCCAGGTGAAGGGCAACCATACGTGAATATAGGACAGCTGCTATCTAGTTCACAAGCCAGGGACAAACTCCCTTCTCCATGAGTGCAGATATCGAAATATCATATCTGACTCCACTGAAGGCATTATTACGATCAAGTGCTGTCACAACCGTCTACTGACTGTTCCAGACGCTTTCTAAACATCAAAAGCAAAAATAACTTCATTTGACCTTCATTTGACCTTCATTTGATCTTTTCGTGGCCGGTCACTACCCAAACCTTTTGACAGGAGCTCTTCCTTTTCCAAAAAAACATTTGTACTTAAACAGCAATAAACTTCTAAAGCACCTTGCCAAAAGTATTCTGTAGGGTGATAATGCTGGAACCACTGAGTCTCGAATGATCTTTGCCTGGTTTTGGGAGTGGGATCAGGTAGCTGTGTACCCAATCCTGGGCTATTGAAGCTGTTCTGATGCTCTGGTTGAAATGAAAAACCATCTCCCTCAAGTCTTCATAACTCATGCTTTTCATATTGGCATACCTGACTCCGTCTGGCCCCGGCGCAGTGTCTTTTGTTTTTTCGCAATATTTTTATATATCCTCCAGCATAATGATATCCTGAAAATAGTTAACATTTTTAGTACTTGACAGAATAACTCTAACTGAATTTCTAAGCTCCCTAATATTGTTATCATTTTGGAATGTAATGCCTCCCCTCCCCCCCCCCAAAGCTTTCCCTTTCTCTTTGTCTGATGTCATTGGCTTATCATTATCAGTGTATATAATGCATGTTGTGACAGCCCGATCATTTCTTTGCATCTGTCTGTGAAGTTTCCAAAACCAGTAAGTCATAAAGTAAAGGATCCTTTTCCTCGCCTTCGGGCGTATTGGGCATAAAGGGCTAAACCCGTGGATGGTATGGTCAGTATCACACAGGCCATTTTGCTTCCCATATCTCCACCTGGTACTCATTCAATGCTGGAGGACAATGTTCCTTTTCAGGACTGTTTTCTAAGAAAATATCAGTGGACTTAAAGAGTTTTTTGGATGATAACCAAACATAATATAATCCTAGAAACCCTATTCAACAGTATATCACAGTTTTGTTAGGGCATTGACGATTACACAGTAATCTATAGTCCAATGTGAGCAGGTAAATAAATCAAAACTGTGGCAAACTTACATTTTCTGCGTGAGCTGGTAACATCAGGAAAACATTTGGATATGCGAAATTTCCGAATCCACAGGACAAGGCGTAGATTATAAACAGTGGATTGGACATGAGGCTCCAGTCAAATAGCTTTTGTGTTTTCTTGTGACTCCTGTTTGTGGAACTTTTCTGCCGATCACAACACTTACAGCAATCACAAACACTTGAAGTTAAGTCTTTCAGTTCCTCTTGTGGAATGTTTTGTAAAGATGCCATTGGAATTAGCTCATTACTGGAGAATTCAGAAAAGTTTTTGCTTAATGATTCTTTTCTCGATGCTTGTCCGTTATTCCCAGACAAGCTCTCACAGATTTGAGTATCTGACTTAGGATCGTATACTGTATACGTTGTTTCGTTCTTATAGTCACTTAGTAGTTGTTGGAAACCTGCATCTTTTGTCACACCAAGTTCCGTGTATCTAAGTTCTGGCTGTCTTTTCTTGTAACTGCTAAGAGGCCGAATGAGCAGTGCGCAGACAGACACGTTGAGCGTGAGTCCTCCTAGAATAAGCAAGCAGCCGGGGAGGCCGTAGAGGTTCAACAGCCAACGAATGAGGTTGGGGACAACGAACGATCCAACACCAGACCCCGACACGGATATCCCGTTGGCTAGGCTGCGACGTTTCTTGAAATGAAGACCTACCATCACAACACATGGACTGTAGGACAGAGCGTAGCCAAGGCCTGAGAAAGAGGCAAACATTCCCTGTCAATGTATTGGAATCAATAAAACTAAAGCAATTACTTATGCATAAAAAAGTTAATTTATTGTTGCTTGGGCGAGCAGAAGGAATTAAAATGTGCTATAGCATCCTTGATCAAGAGCTCTAGAACTAAACGCAGTCCAATGAATCAAGAGGAGAGGAACAGAGGCTGGTGAAATTGCAGAACCCTAGAGTAGTCTCGGGGCTATATTACATTGCTCTGAGGTCCATGTACCCAGGTAAAGACGCGACGAGAAAACCTGATAACAGTACAACTAGAATGTTTTTTGCACGGGAACACACAGGGTCAAGTGAATACAGACAGCAAATACACGGAGAAGGGAACTGGAGAGAGAAGTAATACAGATTGGACAGGCATTGTCGTGAGCTGCTTGGGATTGGAATTGGCGTTGGCGTGATACGGTTGAGAGTCCCTGCTTCACTGGAGACAAAGCTGTAAAGGAAGATATCTACACACGAGAGGTTATGTTACATACAGACATTTTCACTAAGATCATGTTTACATGTGATATGATTACAATCACATCAAATGCTATTGACCGTCAAGGTGGAGCGAGCAGATCAGTCAACAGCAACTGGTGACCCAACGGCACACAATGTTACGAGATGATTATGACGAATGTGACATTGCATCTGTACGTTCGGCTCTCTACATTATTGTAAACATCGACGCAGAGCGGTTTTCTGCCAAATCCTCAATAACTGGAATTGAACCTGGTATTATATACAGCGTCCGCATCCCTGAAGCCAGAGGAAAAGAGTTATTAGCGCCTAAGCCAGAGGAAAAGAGTTATTAGCGCCTAAGCCAAAGGAAAAGAGTTATTAAACAGCCATAACTGGTGATTTTCAGGGAGACCAATACAACACTCCCGTGTAGGTTTCGGTGCCCCATTGGGGGTGGGGGCGAGAGGGAAGGGGGTGGGGAGTAGACTTACTGCCTCTCTAAAAAAAAAAAGCATACCGTAAAAGGCGATTTGTTAGGCCTTTTTCTCTGAAGTCGGGAGCGCACCTGCCTGAAAGGCTAGGAACCAAGAAAAAGTAAGCCTGACCTGAAAAAATAGATTTGGACGCAAAACTCAATTTCTGGAACATGACGAAATTTCAAAAGTGGACGAACAACCGTGACTTTTGGCCGGATTCATCAGTCGGCAAACGCGAAGAAGATGAGGAATACAACGCAAACGACAAATATTTTAGGCAACGTCGGTTCTGTGGAGATCAAAGCGCTACCCATCATACCTGTCAGTACAAAATTACATGTAACGTCAGCGTAAGTTACCTGTTATCACAGCAAAGGTGAGGTACAAGAGATCGAAGTGTTCAACAAACGTCGACAAGATGAAGCCCAGGCCAGACAGAACACCGCCAATGAAGACCACCTTCCGGCAGGTAAATCGGAGAGCCAGAACGTTGGCTCCCAGACCTGTGGAGAACCAGAAAAAGAACATTTTGTTTTCAAAGGCTCACAAATTGGGCACAAAGGCCCGTATAATATATGGTCCTTGTAAACTCTCATCTTTCACTTATCAGTTGTATTGTATCTAATGAAACATGTTATGTTCACATAATATCTTGTGTATGTCAAGTAAATATACAAAAGCATTGAGGGTAAATGCATACATTCAAATATACATAAACACATACTACATACGCACATACACACATAGAAACACACACCCTCACACTCGCATACACGCGTATATATACACGTATACATACATGTATGCACGCATATATATACATACACACATAGTACATAATATACGCGACCCACAGTATGTATGTATGTACTTCAGTTTTACGGTATGAAGACTGACATGTTTTCAAATTTTACTTGTGTGTGTGTGTGTGTGTGTGTGTGTGTGTGTGTGTGTGTGTAGAACAGCGGTTGTCAACCTGTGGGTCGCGGCTTCTTTGGGGAAAAAAAAGGGATTTGGGTCGAAGGACTATTTCAATGGGGTCCCCTAAAACCATTAAAAAAAAAAACACATATTTACCGAAGTTATGAAGTAGCAACTGAAACAATTTTATGGTTGGAGATGGCCACAGCATGAGGAACCGTGTAAAGGGTGGCCACAGCATGAGGAACTGTGTAAAGCGTCGCCACAGCATGAGGAATCGTGTAAAGGGTCGGGGTATTAGGAAGTCTGAGAACCACTGTTGTAGCGCAACTACTGCACAGCTCAGACACATTAGTTTCAAACACATAAACCTTGGTAAATTTTTATGTAGTTATGTGTCACATTGAATCTCCTTCTTCATAAACATTCGGGGCAATCCTTGAAACTGAACACAGAACTTGCATAGTTATAAAGAAACATATCAGTTTAGCGCGGCAAAATTTAATATTGCTGAATCATTTACCCTTGGTCTGTCATTGATACACTCCCCCGCCCGGCTCTCTAGCGTAGTAGTGACCGGGTGACGAAGTCCCTTTGGTCCGGGTTCACTCCCGGGGGTAGGCCACATTTCTCTCAGATTTACAGTATTTACAATGGAATCAAGGCCGAAATGTTGCGATATCCATAATACCGAGACTAAGGGTTAACAACTCATGGCTTCTGGATACTAAAACAAGCTTCAAACAAACAATACACTCCTCCACTCAAAGTTAATGTTAAAGGTTCCCCACTCAAAGTTAATGTTAAAGGTTCCCCACTCAATGTTAATGTTAAAGGTTCCCCACTCAAAGTTAATGTTAAAGGTTCCCCACTCAAAGTTAATGTTAAAAGTTTTCCACTCAAAGTTAATGTTAAAGGTTCCCCACTCAAAGTTAATGTTAAAGGTTCCCCACTCAATGTTAATGTTAAAGGTTCCCCACTCAAAGTTAATGTTAAAGGTTCCCCACTCAATGTTAATGTTAAAGGTTCCCCACTCAAAGTTAATGTTAAAGGTTCCCCACTCAAAGTTAATGTTAAAGGTTCCCCACTCAAAGTTAATGTTAAAGGTTCCCCACTCAAAGTTAATGTTAAAGGTTCCCCACTCAATGTTAATGTTAAAGGTTCCCCACTCAAAGTTAATGATAAAGGTTCCCCACTCAAAGTTAATGTTAAAAGTTTCCCACTCAAAGTTAATGTTAAAGGTTCCCCACTCAAAGTTAATGTTAAAGGTTCCCCACTCAATGTTAATGTTAAAGGTTCCCCACTCAAAGTTAATGATAAAGGTTCCCCACTCAATGTTAATGTTAAAGGTTCCCCACTCAAAGGTAATGTTAAAGGTTCCCCACTCAAAGTTAATGCTAAAGGTTCCCCATTCAAAGTTAATTGACTTCCAGGTCGACCAAGTCTTAAATAGGTACCACGTCAAGTCCTGGGAAGTAAAGGCGACCCGAGTGTTGTCGACCACACGACTCAACGAGTACCGATTAGTCTATAAAATATAGGCCTTGCCCTATAAGCCCAGTGCGCCTGCAAACGTTGAAAAAAAAGGTCCATTTAGAATTTATGTTTTACTCAGTGTTGAAGGTAAATGTTTCCAACCTCAAAAAACATTACCAGGAACACAGGTTTCTACCAATCTGGACCTAACCCCCCTACCGGTATGTATGTGCCAACGTCGGCGGAATATGGAAGATCTGGTCCTATGAAAATGATATCATTAATATTCTAAACGGAAAACAAATATACTAATATACTTCAAATAACAGTATATGCACTAACAAAGGAAGGGAGGGGGTGCCTTACCCCTTCTAATGTTCTTTTCTGGGTAGGTGAGGGTAGGGGGAGGGGTGTGTGGCCTATGGACACGAGTTTTCCTTCCCCTCATTAAAATTTTACTTAGAAAATGTGCAAGATAGTGTTGAGGGCGTGGTTATGGCTCAACAGTTTTCTTACTGAAATAGTCTGGGCACCGACTCACTTTTTGCCTAGGTGGTCAGAAGGGCTTGTTTGGAAGGGGGGTGGTCTCCCGGCTAAAGATTTATTAAGTGGGGGGGGGGGGGGGGGGGGGGGGAGGGTTAACAGGAAAACATGTAAACCGGTAAACCACCTGCCCGCACAATTGTTTTCTTGGTGGCAGCGAGCCTGTATGTAGTGATGAATGATGACTTGGATACCTATTGCTTATCCATGTGTGAATTCCCAGTTCACGGGTCGACAGAAAAGGGCTTTTTCAGGCCTTAAACGACACTAATATCATTTCATAGGTTTTTGGAAGTAGCCCAAAGTATTTACCACTGTTTTGTATGTTTTCCCTATCAGGCAGCAATTAGAGCGTGCGTACATAAAGAAGAGCACATTGAGACCACCCGAATCTATGCACAAATGCCTGGCTGTCTAGGACGTTTCAAACACTAATGTACATACACTCTTTGCCAGTATCTCGTCTCTTCAAGTGGCTTTAAATATTTCAGTCGGTGACAAACATTGCAATGGGCAATAATTACACACAGCCAGAAAGTTTAAGTCAACTATTTCAGATCGGCCCAATAATCACCTTAAACAACGTCCTAGTAAGAAAGAGTTAAAGAAACATACCCAGGACTGAAATGGTTAACCAGCATTTTGCTAAAGGCAAAGGCTTTTTAAAATTACCAACTCTCCATGGCACCAAACTCGTAATTCTAGACATGTGAAATAAACAAGTGCAATGAAGAGAGGTGGTGTTGTTTTTCGTAAACCAACTGTGTGGTTGCATCATCATTAGGTATTTATAGTCTGACATTCCAACCTGCAACCATTCACTTTAGTTATTGAGGCAGTTTTGACTCATAAAGCTTTTCGCTCCGTTTTTTTTTTAAATATCCACAAACCATGAGTTATGAACCCTTTGGCTCAGTACTATGGACATCGCAACTCTTCAGCCTTGATTCCATGACAAATACCGTAGATCAGGGAGAAATATGGCTTTTCTGCCTACCCCCGGGCATGAACCCGGACCACTAGGATTTCGTCACTATCACTAGTATTTTCCAGTGTTGAGGGTATAGATAGTCTCCACCAGGGGGAGTTAATTAGTCATCATAGTTAGAAGCCAAATTAAAAGAGACCGGTTAAACAGTTTATTAAAAGAGCGAGAAATGTGATGGTTTGGTCATCTGATATGAATGTACAGGTTACAACTGCCACAGAGCCAGGCTGAAGAAATGTTGTAGACACAGAGCAAGGGGACGACCACGCAAAAATAGATGGTATCAAGAACAGGCGTAATGAAATGAAGATCAACTACTTATCAAACGCACTGGAGAAAGCATCATGAAGATCTTAACCCCACCTCCTCACCCCTTCCATCCCCGCCAATCTCTTTCTCTCTCTCTCTCTCTCTCTCTCTCTCTCTCTCTCTCTCTCTCTCTCTCTCTCTCTGAATTGATCTAGGAATAAATAACTGTATGCAATGAATGGACTGAAAGGACAGAATGTTAGACGGACCTGCACATCCATTTCTTAAAACATTAAAAAATATAATTTGTTCTCTAGTCAGTTTTTTTTTCTCTCTCTCTCTCTCTGGAAAAATAATTCGTTTGTTCTCTCTCCCTCTTTTCTTCTGACTCTATTTCTGTCTCCCTCATTTCTCACAGCTCTCTCTCTCTCTCTCTCTCTCTCTCTCTCTCTCTCTCTCTCTCTCTCACACACACACACAGAGTTGCATTAATTCTCACAATTGCTGTACTCACTTAGACCCAGCATGATTGTCATCGTTATCCCCTGGATCATGCCTAGCTCCCGAGCTGTCACGTGGTACTTGTCATTCAGCTCAACAAATAGAACTCCGAAAGATTTCACCCCTCCCAGGACTAGAACGTGCATGCCGAAACAAGCTGTTGATTGGTTGAGGGACATGATCATGTAAGCAAAATTCTAATATTTGAATACTGATTGGGAGTACAATGATGGTGTTAATAAATGCAGATATAACGTTTCAATTGGTTGGATAAAATTATCATGTGGATATACATGTAAACATGGTTATTGATTGACTTACATAGCACAACACAAAGAAATGGTAACAACTCACTTTTTCGCGCACTGGCTCCGGTCATATACACACGTATGAATGAGAGGGGGGGGGGGGGGGGGTAGGACAGGACACTGTGACTGGACGGTCAGACTCCGCCTCAGGTTGTTACACGGTCACTTGCAAGGTGCACGGGTATCAGCTATCTCTCTTGCGCATATGTTAGAGTGCGGACGGCTACACAGTGGCTTTTCTGAGCGACTTAGTATGAATAGTTTTAGTGTTTGTTGATGGGTACATGACAACCATCTAGGATTTTGCTTAGGAAATGAGTTTATTGCAGAGGGTAAAGTTCCGTGTCTACAGCGACACGTAGAATGCACTGTCTCGTGGGACCTAGGTTTAGTTTCTTGCGAATAGGGTTTGGGTAGGCCTAGTTGCATATTTTATGGGATCGTTAAAATCGCTAACTTGCTGAAGTATAGAGGTCGCGACAAGGGAGAGTGATTCTCAATGTCCCGAGGTCGTAAA